GCTTTCACAAATGAAACAGCGTCACACACGGCGGGCTTGAGTGAGTGGAGGCGGGTGGGCTTGAGAACGGCTAAAGCTTCAGGGGCTGTATGGAGAGATGCCTAGCCCATGTACCCCTCACCGTGGCCGGGGTGAGGCGAGTCGAAGACACCCACCCCCGGTGGATTCGACGAAGGAGCGTCCGGTGGGCTTGCGGCAACCACATGTGATTGTGGTTGACCCTTAACTTTTATAAAGTATATCTCTTTGGATTTGAGACTTTATTCTTTGCAACTTTACAGATCTTCTTTATGCACCAAGAACTTGTAACAAAATTGAAATCGCATCATATGACCCTTTAAAAGTTAGATCCAGTCATCAAATCTGACTGAATGAGAGGCATTCTAAGAGTGCTGATAATTCTCCAGAACAATACTGGGGTGCATTTTTGTTTTGTAACACACTGTAATCACTGAAACTTGATTAAGTTTTTAATTGACCTATTTAAATTTCATTTTATTATTAGTTTGCAACATAATTAAATCAAAAGCAAAATAATCAACTCATTGAGCTCAGTGCAGTGCATTCAGTATTTTTTCCCTGTGACAAAAAAAGAAAAGAAAAAGTTTTAGCCCTAAAGAAATTAATAGCACATCTGGAAAAAAAAGTTGAAAATGATGTAAACTCACATAAGATTAAAGGGGTCATATGATGCAATTTCAAATTTTCCTTTCTCTTTGGAGTGTTACAAGCTGTTCGTGAGTGTAAGAAACCATTTAAGTTGCAACGACTAAAGTCTCAAACCCAAAGAGATATTCTTTATAAAAGTTAAGAGTCAACCACGCCTACCTAAAACGGCTCGTTCTAACACACCCCACATGTCTACGTCACTATGTGGGGAGATTTGCATAACGCCGCCCAAATGTTCACGCAAAGAAAGAAGGCGTAACTTTTATTCTCACTGTAGTATTGTTGTTGCCGGCATGTCGTGGAGGCACTGTGTGTTTCGTTGTGAAAGCGAAACTACTTTGTTTGGTCTTCCAAAAGAGGACGATATCTGCTTTGTCATGCCTGGAGCTGATCCGTGCTGGTCGCTGAGGAAATACATCAACTTAGTGGATCGCCGGATCGGCTTTCACCGTGGACGAAGCGGAGTCCAGCCCGGGGTCGTCACATGTGGTTGCCGCATGCCCGACGGACGCTCCTTCGTCGAATCCGCAGGCCGCGTCGTTCTCAAGCCCACCCACTTCCGCTCACTCAAGCCCGCCTTGTGTGACGCTGTTTCATTTGTGAAAGCGAAACTACTTTGTTTGGCCTTCCAAAAAGAGGACACGACTAGAAATCAGTGGTTAAGTTGTATTTACAACACTGTTCCAGAACAGTTCAACCCAAATATTCAGATGTGTGCAGTGCATTTTATGGAGGACCGTTTCCTGATCCTGCAGAGTAGCCTACAATGTCTGTGCACAAAGGCTGTTTCTATAAAGTGGGGCAGTTCCAACTTTGCAAGGACAGTCTGGTGCTTCTGACTCACAGCCTGCAAGTACGTTTTTCATATGAACCCTTTACAATTCTGGTCTTATTGGTAGCATAATATGGCTATTTTATTTTACAAGAGTTGGTTAGCCTTATGGGGCAGACATGGTGAAATTAATGAGCCAATCAATGCATTTTTACCCAAAGCAGTGGTAACTGAAATCTTGTGTAATGCTGCATTTACACCACTAGTAGTCAAAAATACTAAGGGTGCTTTCACACCTGTAGATCGATTGCTTTGTTCCGAAACAGGGATTCAAATTATTACAATGTTGCTTTTTATTCTTGGTGCGGTTCGCGTTCACACGGCAAAGTTTCTAAACGGACCAAATTTGTTAATACAATTCACGCGCAAGTAAACTGTTCTCTCATTGGTCAAAGTTCCATGGTTTATTTTCCGGGATTCCACTGAGCTGTCACGCATGTCATCCGTCAGAATGGAACAATAACAGCTTTGCGGGCTTATTGTTGTTTATGTTGTAGCTGTCGTTATAATAATTTATAATTTTAAGCAGGAGTCCAGGATTCATCGGGAAAACATTTTTAAAATGCACCTACTACAAAGAAGAGCAATAAGACGGCATTATAAAATAAAAAAGTGCGCTTTGATTTTTGAATGGCAAAGACGTGCTCACCCACAGACTTTCACAGGTTCATTTTGAGGTATTAGCAAAACAACAAAGCTA